AAGTAACAGATTTTTTTTTCAAAATTTTCAGCCTTTTTTTCATTTATATAATAAAAAAATAAAAAACCCAGCGGTGATCAAATACCACCAAAAGATAGCTCCACTTGTGTGAAAAAATTATATAAATTTCATATGTGCACAAATGTATATTAAAGTACTGTAGTGCAGTGCCGAATAGCAAAACATGGCCTGGTCAGGAAGGGGGTAAAACCTTCAGGAAGGCAAGTGGATAATTTCATTAAACATACTGTAACTTGGTTGTGTTGTTGATTATCAGATATTAATATGGAAAGGATACTTCTGGTCTGGCAGATTTCTGTATTTGTACTTGTATTATGCCTATGCAGATGTGTTATCACATTCTGCATGCCAGTTCCAGGTCATGTAGTCGGGAAGGTTGAGGAAAGACCTGATGACCTATCTCATAAAAAATGACCAAAAATATTCTATGAGAAAAGGCTTTCAAGCATACAGTGAAGGAAATAAGTATTTGATCCCCTGCTGATTTTTAGTGGCCTAGCCAGTCTCCAGACCTTTATCCGATTGAAAATCTGTGGAGGGAGCTGAAAGTTCAAGTTGCCAAACGTCAGCTAACAAACCTTAATGACTTGGAGAGGATCTGCCAAGAGGAGTGGGCCAAAATCTCTCTTGAGATGTGTGCAAACCTGGTGGCCAACTACAGGAAACGTCTGACCTCTGTGATTGCCAACAAGGGATTTGCCACCAAGTACCAAGTTTGTGAAGGGGATCAAATACTTATTTCCTTCACTGTATCAGATATGGTGTTCAGAAAGCTGGCCCATAGAATCACTGAGAACCAGATACAACAGAATGGATGTATACATGCATACTCTTTATATTATATTATATAAATATTATATTTTGTGTTCTTATAGATCACCTTTACTCCTGTGGATATGGAAGCTGTACCTTTGGCAGAGAAGTCTGATCTTTTAACCCCAGCCAAGCAGTGGTATGACTAATGAATTTCCCTTCCTTTTACACTCCTATTTAGGAATGGGAAATTAAATGAATGAAATATGCATAGCAACCACTTTTTTACTTGATTGCTGAAATCCGGTTGCCATTGGTTACTGAACTTTGTAGATCATTATTGCTCTCTGTGTCACCTAATTACTGAGTTATTATAGTATATTACAATTCATCACTCATCTCATTTTAATCCAAGGTCAAACATTACTGGGATCTGTAAAATGAAAAGTATGCTAGGTTTATCTACGAGTACATCATATTAAACATGAACCAAAATAAGGACATTTATGACCAGGCATAAGGTAGTAGAAAGGTCTTGTATATAGAAACATAGATTGATGATAGCAGATACCTGGCTCATCTAGCCTGTCCATGGATTTTTACTCCTCCAAACAGACCTGTGTTTATCCAAAGCATTTTTCAATTACTGTACACCTGAACAATTAAAGCCAACATGCCTAACTGCTTGTTTAGGTCTAAAGGAGAGTAAAGGTATTTTACTTACCCGATCCTCTGCTTCCCCAGCAGTCGGCGCTCCCTCATGCTCCAGTGGTGGACTGTCCCTTGGCATCATCACATTCAATGCAGGGTTTGGACCGTGCATTGGTCCTGATGTCAGGACTTTAAACCATGAGGGAGGAGACATTGTAGGGAATGGTCTAGTGGAGGCAGTGCCAGGTTTATAAGGGGGCCATTACCCTGAGCCCCCCTGACAGAAGGGCCCCCCCCCATACAGAAATTCTGTAAAACAATATAAATAATAATAAACTAATATTAAATATGATAAAAAAAAAAACTTTCTTTTATTAAATGTACTGTATCTTAAGAAGTAATATTTTGCTGGCCATCATCTGCAAAAGTCTCTGGATTTTTTTACTTTAAAATCGCATTTTGGCGGGTCATAGAGCACTATGACTGCGTATTTGTGCAGAATGACGTTTTGTCTTACTTTTTAAAAATATATGACTGTCATTGAGAATTTAAACCAACTCTGTGTATAAGGGGCCCCATGAACCTGAAGTGCCCCAAGCTCCCCAAGCTCTAAGGGCCAGTTCACGCCACAAAAAAATGCACTCAGGATGCATTCCGTATACGTTTTTGCTTACAGTTCACACCACACACAGTTCCGGTGCAGTTTTCATGCAGTTCGCTATATTCCTGTGCAGAAAAAATGCAGCATGTTCTACTTTTTTTTCTGCATCGGAAACTAACTGGAACTGTCTGCACTGGTGTGAACTAGGGCCATTGGAATACATGGAAAACACTGTGCATGCATTTTGATGCAGAAATAAAATGCACTGGACTGCATTTAGTGTGAACTAGCCCTAAATCTGGCCCTAAGTGGAGGAGCTGGTAAGTAAATCTTCTTTTCTAAACCCCCTAGATCCAAAAGGCCAGCTAACCCTTGCAGTATTGGTGCAACCCTACTGCAAGGTTCCTGGAGTTGGGCTTTAAAGTGGTTGTAAGCCTCAGACATGAAATATGAACAAAGCATATTTATTAATTTATTTCAGGTACTTATATAGCACTTTTACATATATATTGTACATTCACATCAGTCCCTAACCCTCAAGGGGTGTACAATCTAAGGTCCCTAACTCATATTCATACACATACTAGGGCCAATTTAGACAGGATCCAATTCACCTACCAGCATGTCTTTGGAGTGTGGGAAGAAACCGGAGTACCCAGAGGAAACCCACGCTGGCACAGGGAGAATATGCAAACTCCAGGCAGGTGGTGCCATGGCTGAAATGCAAACCAACAACCCGAGTACTGCCAGGCGGAAGTGCTAACCATTTAGCCATATCCCTGTATAGTGTGTACTTGTCTCAGTCCAGAGCACTAAGTGTCATTTCTGTCTGCTTCCTTGTTCCTCTGCTATAAGCTTGAGTCATGTCTGACAAGTTTTCCTGACACCAAGAGAAAATGGTGACAGGGGAGGGACCTCCAGCATATTGACAGCCTCAGCTCTGTTCCTGTGAGCTGTGTGGAGTGGAGTCACTGATGTAACTTCAGCTCTCCGCCCCCTTCTTTACTCTGCAGAGTGATCCTGTGTAAATTCTGCACTTTGAATGGATGGAAGGGAAGAGGAAAGATGGGTGTAGATATACATGTACAATTTATATAGGAGGATTTGTTTCACCTGTGTATCACTTCACTGGATATATGTAAGAGTTTACAACCACTTTAAAGTAAACCTGCGCAGCCTCACCCACAGTGACATGATTAGTTCTTAAACTACCGTAATCTGCTCCATGAGGTCAGTTGATGGCAGTTTCCAGTTTTGGTCCAATTGAGTATGAAAAGGCAATTAAGAAATGTTTTAGGGTTTTACAGTCAAATCCACACCATTATTATATATGTGGCTGGAACTCTTGGCTCCCTGATGTATTGTTAGAGCTGAGCTCCCGCTACAACTGTAACTCTTTCGCAGTTGTACAGCTTCATCTCCGGTACTGAAATGGCTTACTCTGATTTCATAGCACACAGTGGAGTTCTCACAGTGTACGTTAGAACCTGCAGCAAGTCATATAGAGCCTGTCTCATTTCTTGGCTGGAGGATGTACATCATCATCTAACCCTTTCCTCACCAGCCTTACTGTCCTTGACCCCTTTCATTCGTCAGATTTCAGCTGTTTCAATCATAGAGGCTCAGCATCACATGTTGGCTTTACCTAGGGGAGCCTGCATGAAAATCCAGCCTGCCTACAACTGCCAACTCTGCCAGACTGACATCCACCCATCAAGCCATTTTTATATATTTGCATAACTCCTCCCAGGAACTGCTTGCATTATTAGGATGTTAGGAAGAGTACTGAGGCAAGGTGCTGTGAAGTTTAGGAAGCTATATACAGTACCTTGCTGGTCCTTCCCACTAGCCATGAACTGTCTGCATTGCATAGAGAAAAACAGAGACCCAGTGATAACATCATTGAGTCTAAAATAAGCAACATAATAACAATGGAAAAGTTGTATTTCAAAATGTCATTATCATGTTTATGAGGAGGGAAAAAGGGAACCAGGGAAGGCAAAATATAAGCAGATTAAACTTCAGCTCTAACCTGTTAGAAGGAGACTTTCCAATGTAGCCCATGCCAATAGGTACAAACATTACATCTGACCGACTCTTTATTTCTCTGATTACAGTCTGCTGAGATTGGTCAACAAATTACTGTGAATGGTTTTCTTAAATGACCAAAAAAAGCGGAGAAGTGATAAGGAGCAGAGAGCTAAGGCCCCTTTCACAGGGGCTGGGCAATCGGGTCCCCCTGTCTGTTTTCCAGGTGACCAGATTGAACCATCCATTGTCCTCTATGGAGCGGCAGATGTAAATGGACATGCTTCTGTATATACGTGCCTGCATCCAATCTGATCTGATCCACTGACAGACAAATGGGGGATCTGTTCCTGTCCATTTGGGTAGATCTGTTTGAATGACAGTCAGGTGTAAATGGACAGGCGGTCTGTTTACATACGACTGCCCATAGAGGAAAGCGCGCTGTGTCCGCTCTGCATAAGTGGAGCAGACATAGACCTGTCATCCGCCTGCATAGCAGGGAACAGTGGACAGATACCCCGCTGAGCAGTCTGATCCACTAGTGGAGTCCACCGTGTGAAAGGGGCCTAAGAAGGTCTTGTTAGATGGTCTGTAGGAAACAGATGGGTTATCCTGCAGACAAAATAGAATCCTACCCCCAACATATTCTATGAGCTTTGGAAAGTACAATAAAAGATATGGTTTTCATTATTGTCTGGGATTCCAGTGGGCATATTTCCCCTGAATTGCTCTTTTGGGACAGAAAGTGGGAAATATACACTTTCATTAGAGCGGGGCAAGGTAAGACTTCTATCAGGATGTTTTGGTTTTTTGCTGTCTGTGACATCATGGAAAGATTTTCTCTCCCTGTCCTAGTAACTGTTACCACTTGGGACAGGAAGAGAGTTCAAATAGCCAATGAAGACACCAACAGCAATAAAAACAAAACACAAAATAAAGACCTTCCCAGGGGTGGACTGACCATTTGGAAACTCGGGCACTGCCTGAGGGCCCGGGGTCAGTAGGGGGCCCCATGAGATGCCCCTGGTACCTTTTTCGTAGGCTTTTTTGAGTTTGGGCAAGGACACAGGGACCCCATGATCCCCTATTGCCCGGGGGCCCCATGAGTTGTCAGTCCGCCCCTGAACCTTCTCTACTCTACTGAAAATTATACATGTGGGAAAACATCTGCTCTAAAGGATAAGCGCACTATAAAACAAATCAAGTCATCTCCATTCTTGTGTTGTGTCCCTAGTCTGGAGATGATCAGAGACAGTCCCATGGAAGTCCTTGGGGCTGTAATGTGCAGGCATGGTGAGGAGTAAGGCAGGCCATAGACGGGCCATTTATAAACGAAAAATCGGTCAGCCCCGTTGCCGATGCTGCCACCCATGTCCATGAAAAACGGCCATTTTTTGTGGATTTTCCAGCATGACCGACAAAAATAAATTAGGAGATCCGCGAAAAACGGCCGACGGGCTGGCCCCACTAACAGCGTGATTATCAGCCGATTTTTCGTGCAGACTAAAATTCGGCCGATAAACGACCCGTCTTTGGCCTGCATAAAGACTTGTGGTGCTGGCCTTTATGAGATACAGTAGCCAAAATTATGTCAGTAAATCGCATACTCAGGTCCCACTTTCAGTAAGTTTAGCAGCTTGGTTATGCAGATCAAATATTTTCTGGAGTTGCAAGAACACTATTATAACTCTAACATTGATATTATAATGAACCTCTAGATCCAGCTGATAGAGACTGCTTTGATTTGTGCAAACTAAGTTAGGTGCAGGAAATGAAAGTTCCAGCTGAAATCCAATCAGTACTAGTAAAATAGTTTCAGTAATGTGTGCTTTAGTGATCAGATAATGCCGCCAATTCTAAAGCCAGCCATAGATAGAGCAATTATCTTTCCTGCAACTACCGGTTGTAGAATAGAAAATTGCAAGATTTCCCCATCAACACAGTCAGTGTTGATGTTGATGTGGGGGAATCCCTCCCATGGAGCCACTGTGTTCTCCCAGCGGGGGTCAGGGGGAGCAGTGTATACTGCTAGCAGCCATAATAGCCTCTAGAAGTAATCGCATGTAAAATCCGACAGGCTGGTTGTACCTAAGTGGATTGATTGATCAGCTTAGGTACATTCAGCCTGCCCATACATGGTTCAATTCTTGGTTATCCCTGCTGACCTGGCCAAGATTTAAACCATCTATGGCCAGCTTAAGCAGATCTCATATCACCAGAACACCACCAAAATAATCCTCTATCTGACTTTATTGTAAATTTACCTGAAGAAACGTACTTTTTTTAGGTATCAACCTGTGCAGGATCACCTTCATCTCTTAGGTCACTGACTATCTAAAGAATGGGATCCTGCCCATCCCTAGAACATGAACGTTACTTCTGCTGGTGACTTAACTGGTGATCTGATCTGCTAATCTATATTAATTGTAGACTGAATACAAAAAAATCTGACTTTCACAAGTGAACATCAGGTACAGTCAGCATATTTAATTATAGCGTTTGTACTTGCTATATTACTGTGTTTTTTTACATTTTTTAATTCAGCATGTTTTTTATGATAATAAAATAAAATTCCAATAAATGATTAAAGCTATCCTTCCTAAACAGGTCTACCACAGCGTACACAAGCAAGGAAGAGGCGGAGTGCTATGAGGCCACCTTGCCTTCTTATGAACAGATTCAGATGAAGGTGGAGGAACTTGGTGAACCTCAAGGAAACCAGGCAGTTCCACCTTTCCCACAACCTTTGCTGGTAGACATTTCACAGCCAAAGTTGCAGGCCAAGGTGGAAGTACACAGGAACTCAGTTGGTAAAGAAGAACATGCAGTGGTAGAAGCCAATTGGTGAGTATGAAATTGTACTGAGTGTGTTTTTACACTCTACTTAATGGCAAATGGTCTGATTTTGCTTGTAGATGTTACATAGTTATGTCGTTGGTAAGGTTGAATAAAGACACCTGTCCATGCAGTTCAACCTGAGTTTGTGTGACTACTGTTTTCCAAATCCCTGTACATTGTGTTCACTAAAAAACACATCTAAAAGTTATTCAACCTATCTACACTCTCTGCTGATACCACCAATTGTGGAAGGGAGTTCCACATCCTTACCACCCTAACAGTAAAGATTCCCTTAAGCAGTTTAAATAGGAACTGCTTCTCATTCAACTTTATTGTGTGGCCATGTGTCTTCTTTAGAGACCTTAGATTAAATAGGTTCCTCCCGATGCTGGAGTCACCATTCAAGGATTTGTATATTGTGATCATACAGTCTTAAGCTTCTCTCTCTAGTGAGAATAAGTTTAATGTTTCTAATAGCTCCTCTTAATTGAGGTCCTCCAGCCTCCCTATTAGTTTTGTTGCCCTTCTCTGGACTCTCTCCAGTTCCACCACATCCTTTCTGAGGACTGGTGACCAGAACTGGCTTCAAGATGTGGCCAAACCAGGGTTTTGGAAAGTAGAAGAATTATAGTTTTAGGGAATTGTGTCTGTGGAAATTTTACAGATCCTGAATTCCATTTACCTGCACCGTTCCTCATGGCAACCAGAAAAAAATGAACATTTACGATTAGGCTTTAGTCACATGGGTACTGTGGCACATACAGCATGAATAGGCATCTTGTTTATGTCGCTGCATCCTCATCCTGGTGGCTCCAGCCACATAAACAAGGTACTCATTCACTCTGCAAGAAACAGTGTCTGTGTGATTGAGGTCCTAACATGACCGATACTACAAAAGCCTGTAAAATCTACAAATTTGAAATGTGTTTACTGCCACTGGTAACTACCAGATTGAAACTAGTGCTAGTGGTGAAGCCAGGGCCAGATTTCTACTTTTTCCTCTCTACCTTCTGCCATTTTTTCCACCCTAAACAACTATTATGGACTCTGTTAATCCCAAACATATTCACACACAGGACACATAAACTGTTTCACAGAAACATGAACAAATAGTCATAGCACAGCAGAATAAACATTTGTTAACTGTATTAAAAAAAATCAATTGCCCAAATAATAGGACACAACCAGAAATCAGCAGAGACACAATCATTACCATGCTGACATAACCAGCACTATGTTTAGAAAGACAAAGTCAGCATGTCCTGTCGCCAATTTTTTTTTCAGCCTCCATGCCATTGACTATGCAGGACTTGTGTCTTACCTCACTCCTCAGAATGCTGGGGTTGGGAATGAAAGTAACTGGAGATGCAGTGGTGGGCAAGCGGAAGCTGGCTGTAGAAACAGAGAAAGGGTAGGATGTGGGAATATTGCCTGACAAGCTGATAAAGCCTAAAAGTTGCAGTGGCCAGCACAACTTTAGGCTCATTTTCACACGTGTGATCCGATCAGGTCCACCTGAAAAAGTGACAGGCAACCTGATCAGAAGGTCCATTCATTTCAGTGGACTCGTGTCCATTTATACCTGCCTGTAACATAAATGTAAGATTCAGATAGCTGAGATGTGATAAGTAGAAATATGTCGTATATCTAGCTTAGTTCCATGTTATTAAAGATAAGTTAAGTGTTCAGTCAGAGACATATGTTCACCAATTAGCATCTAAAAAGGACAGAGCAGCTTCTAGACTGGAGGGTGACACCTAGATGCCATTAAAACATTGTCACCTATGTAGTCACAGTTTGCCACCTTCTAGAAATCTAAAAAGAGGAGCTCCAGCCATTTCAGCTTCGAAAACAGCAGGAGACCAGGAGTGGCTCCGATGTGTCTGTCAAGCTCTGAGGTATATCCACAGATCAAAGGAATATATTTCATCTCTCATGAAAACTAAAATATTAGCTGCAGAGAGATGAAAATACTTCCTTCTGATTGGACACACTGTAGGCTACATCTGCATGTAAAACTGTATTTGTAGCCTCTGTAGAATCCCAGAGAAACACAGAAAACGGTTATATGGCGCCTGATTGCGACAGCTTAACAGCGATTGGTACTGTCGCGATCGGACTGATGCGCTGGTGTCAGAAATTCAATCCCTGACTTAGTGATTCAAACCGTTCCTGGTCCAATCGACTTTGGGCACTTCAGTACCCAGAACGTCCTGTGGGCTGGTACAGGAACACCCCCCAGGGTTGACTGGCAAAGGGCTAATGTCCAGCCTACGCCCATATTTCAATAAATTGAGGACTCTGAGATATGGACGGTGTGATTTGTATGGAGCCGGTTCTATTGACTGCTGAATCGCGGACTTTCTCTGACTTGCTCCAGTCGCAGGATAACTCTTGGTAAAAGTTTTATTTCTGTTTTTTTTCTCTTTTATTTTATAGTGAATAGTCAATTGTGTGTCTTTTTGTATTTTCTGTATTATTTGTTACTCTTTATACTTTGTACATATTTTATGCACTGCCCACTTTCGGGATATTAAATCATAAAATTAATAAGTGACTTCTGGGTACTTAAGCTCGGGCTCATATCTCTGGAGAGATTGTATTGTATTGCAGTGTCTTTATATGCTCGGTCAAGTTCATTGCCTATCTGTGCAATTGCACTGAGTATTGGCAGATTGCATGCAGATTGTAAAGTAGCAGATCTGCCAGACGGAGAGCTGTGTGTGTGTGTGTGGTGACCCAGCAGACCAGTCTGCGGACAAACTGTTGGGTGGTGGCAAGCCACCGTTTGTTGTGTGTCTGGTGTGGGGGTGTGTGGACAGTGGAAGAGTGATTAACACTGGGGTTCTAGCTTGCAGGATAGCTGGAGGAATCCTAGAAGGGTGTGCCAATTGCTAGACTGCTCCTCAACCCTTAGAGTGCACCAGATTGTATGTAAGATTCGTATCTGCCTGTGTGTGTGGTCAGCCAGCTGGATTAGAGTCTCCCTCTAGTGGTGGCCAGAGGCAGTGCGGGCTGTGAAAGTGTATCTTATATATATTCATATCAAGTCCCCCTCATTCCCTCTTACCCCAAGTCACGGCCGGACACGCACGCCTCGGTTAGCTAGTCGCTGTGGGCGTGTGCTTGTGGGTTGGGTCCGTGACACCGCCTACCTCTGGATCCGATCCAGTCCACTGAAAAATTGTCTTGGAGGGTAGTCGTGTATAACGGACAGCAGAGTCTCTTTACTCCCGGCCACCCATAGAGCAGAGCGGGCTCTTTCCATGTCCCGTCCACAGAGTGGATACAGACCTGTCATCTGCTCTGCTTAGCAGGGGGCCTGTGAACTGATCTAACTGATCTAACTGAACCATCTAAAAGGGGCCTTAAAGCAATCTGGGTAGTTATTTGCCTCCCCACGGTCATGTTGCCCTAGACCATGGTATACCTGGCCATGTGAGAAATCAGCCCTGACTGGAGGAGATACTTTGTTTCATTCTCCTGGTGCAATATTAGAACTGTACAAAATAGTGGGGCCCTATAGTACTGCCATGCACATCCTAAACTGGGTTCTGTTTTTAGTGACAGCATGAAAAATTAAGTTTTGCATAATTTACAGCTTGATCTCCTAGTTATCAAATTTGATAATAATACGTCTATAGGTCAACTAGAGATGGACTTTAATAACCAGGTCTTGTTTTACTTTTTTGTTCAGCCAATCTGCCCCTCTTGCCTGTCTAATTGAAGACACCACTTTAACAACATCGGATAGGACAAGCATGGGAAGTAGTGCATCCTCTCTGCACAGCTGTGAGGACTGGCAACCACAGAAGCAGGATGTCGCTGTGCAGTTTGGAGGTCCTCTCTGTGGAGATGGATTTCATCTTATAGATGGTCCTATGTGCGATGGAATAGCAATGATAGATACATCTTTGTGTGATGCCACCCAGCCACTCGTGGATCAAGAAAGCCTCCATATCTCCAACCACAATAATGATACAACTGGCGAAGAAGGAGCAAGGCAGACCTCCATTACCCAGGGAGCCGCACAAGACCATGGAGCAGACGATCTTTATTATGGAATGAAAGATGAACCCGAAAATCTAACGATTTGAATCTGATTTTGAACATTAGCTTTAGCATGATTTCTGATTCGGAGATGAGATAAACAACACTACATGGAGTATAAAAAAAATGAAAGAAGGCATCTAATTGTTTGCTAATGACAACACAGGATCTTTTTTTTGTCCAGTTTTGTCAGAACCTGAACCAGAACAGTCCAGTATTAAAAGAAATATTTAAGATTTAATGTATCCACTGTAATAGGACCGTATTGTAAATTGTTTCTCCCTTCTTTTTGTTCTCCTCCAGAACTCATTTTGTCTGTCTGCTTTAGTATTTTTTTTATGTATTTTTATAAGGTTTTAGGCATGACAAAACATGATTAATGCAGTAAAAAAACTTTGCTGCTTAGCCTCTATAAAAAGGATGTCCAAAACTTCACCCCTCTGTTATTTTGTAACAGCTGCCAGTTGTAATGAGACAATCAAGTTGAGGTTTAATACGAACAGGGCAAAGATTTGGCCAACGCAACAAAGTATAGTTGAATTGAATATCTGATTGGTTATGTAGACAAATCACAATTCCCTACAAATGTGTGCCATGTAAACAAAGTGGCTATTTAAGATAGGTTAACAGAAAGAAAAAAAATGGCCTGGAGTTCCACCCGTAATTCATAGCAAGCTCTTTAGGTCTGGTGTGAATTTTATAGGGGACCTCATGCAAAGGAAAAAAACTTTTGTGGGGTCCCCCCAAATTCTATACCAGATAGGTTGGGTCTGGTATGGATTTAATGGGGGAACCCAATGCACAAATCAATAAAAAAAAAGCGTAGGGCCTCCTCAAAAATCCATACTAGACCCTTATCCAAGCATGCAGCCTGGCTGGCCAGCAGAAGGAGGATGAGAGTACAGTTCCTCTCCCCTTCTGAACAATACCAGAAAAAAATTGTGGGCAACCCAAGGAAATTAATACTTGCACACATTATTCTAATATTATTTTATTCATGTTTTAACAAGTAATTTCAATGTGACCTTAAAGGATCAGTTCACCTTTGGTAAAATGTTACATGTTCAAATAGTTTTTAGGGTGTAACATGTCCCCACTCCTGCAGCCGCTGCCTGCTCCACTGCATCTAGTGACAGCTAGCGGAGGATCTTCTCCCCGCACTTGCTGTCACTATTTTAAAAAAACGCGGGCAAGTAGGCAGAGTGGGCAGTTCTGTGAATGAAATACAACACGTATGGACAGCTATTGCTTGAAGTTCTCAATTAACTACTATGGCTCTGTTGAGCGCTCGGGTAGTTCATTGTCTCTACCTGCAAGTGTGTATCTGCCTGCTTATACGAGGTACAAGCAGACAGATACACTGACAGTCTGCAGGAGTTCTGCATGGCACCCGTGATCTGCTGATCCTTGCCTTGAGGCTCACAAAGAATATCTCATAAATATTCAGATTATAGGCATCATCATGCCTGTCCATACAAGAGGTACAAGCAGACAGATACACTGACAGTCTGCAGGAGTCCTGCATGGCACCCGCAATCTGCTGATTGCAGGTGCAATGCTTTACAGGCTCCAAGTAAGATAAATAATACTAATGCACATTTTTATATCTGCAAAAAAGTTGTGCATTTATTTTTTACTTTAAAATGTTTTTTTTATGCTTTAAAATGCTACACTAGTTAATGTTATTTTTATTATATGCTGGACCACAAAAAAATTCTTGGAAGACTGTTCCTTGCTTTGAGGGGCGCACAGAATATCTCATAAACATTCAGGTTATAAGCATCATCATGCATTCATACAATTTTGCAGAAAACTAGCTTTCTTCAAACTTAGGTTTTAAGTGTGTGCGGTAAGGGGGGGGCACACCCCCTCATGTACTCCCCTACATACTATGCTGGAATTTCATCCCTTACAAACCAAAGAAGGACAAAAACAAGCCTTGGGCAGCTAACAAGGCTTACAAATAATATTCTGGTTGGTACCTGTTGTCTAAGCACTACAATTGGGGTTCAAACCAGTTAAGATGCAGATGCATGAGTTTGTAAATTAGTAAAAAAAGAACATACCTCTTTAAATATTCCATTAATGTGCTTATGTTTTTGTGTTTGTAATGTAGAAGATATTTATATACAACCTCAAAAGGTATACATTTTCATATCTTTATTTAGCAATAAGCAGAACAGCACTTAAAATACATTTATAAAATATTTCTAGTAAACCACCAGAACTTCAGTTTAGGGAGTCCCAATTAAGGTGAAGTTATTCAGACTAATTTACCACAATGTGAGGCTCCCCAAAGTTTTCTTTACGTATCAATCCTCTGTGGATATGGAGAAGAAGGAAACCCCAGGCCTTGGGCCTAGCCATGGAACATGGCAGGGATTTTCCCTCCTAGAAAAAAAAAAACCAGAAGTTGTTGGTTGCTGGAGTGCAAGATGATGAGGAAAGAAGCTACCACTGCCACTGGTGCCACTGGATGAGTGAGCTGTATAAACAAGAACCTTCTTATATTTGCCTGCCTTAATTAAAGGCTTGAATTCCAATACAACCTCAATTGATAAGGATTCTCGGGAAGAGTGCAGCCAGCAAAGTCTGTGATTAAAGAGAACAAAGAGAGACTTTAGGAAAGATCGAGACTCAGACCTATCTTAAAGTTTGACATCCGGTATGTGTTTTGGGATATCCTGACCCAGACCTCACTCTCCTTCTGATATTGCCACATGCAATAAACTTGTTTTCTATTTTAAAATCTACTAATGTGATTCTGTATGTCTTGAGCAATGAACCACACCTGAGATTGAATATTCTGAGGACTTTACTGTAAGTGGTTTGAGGACATTTGCATTGTAGCTTTTAGTCATCTGAAAGTCAATATTTACTGAGGATCGGTACCAACAGTGCTAGATATGGAAACTAGTTTACACCCTGGATCCCACATATAACAATTAACTCATACTGGTAGAGAATATGTAGAAATACCACCAATGGGCTTAAAAATAAAAAATAAAATGGAGAAAATCCTTCTTCCCTCTTTTTCTTTTAGTTTTATTTTTTTTTCTGTGTGTTATCTTGTTAATCTTCCATTTAGGTGTAGAAAATAAGGTTAAAAAAATTGGAGAAAAAATGAATTTAAACAACTGTAGTATCAGGCTGCAACATAACAAATTGATAAAAAAGTGAAGGGGGCCTGAACACTTTATGAATGCAATATATATATATATATACTGTATATATGTGTGTGTGTGTGTGTGTGTGTGTATATATATATTATGAAAAACTGATTTTCATTAAATTTTGATTGATTTTTAGGAAAAATATATGCCCATATGTGCTCAAACAATCTTTTGTGCAAAGAAAATGTAAGAGTTTTTTTTATCGCCTGCATTTTTTAAAACGAAAAAAAAAATGGACAGCTGGTCCCTGTGTCAGTTACATTTAAAGTCCAACGCTGGCCTGCTTATAAATGTGTCCATACAGTTAGGTCTCTCCCTCAGCACTGTAAAAATTAAATGCTCGTTCAGCTAGGTGGGAAGGAAAAAGTTAAAATACCTTATTTCTTGCTCCCCTGGCAGCCAGTACTTTCCTCCATTGTCTGATGCTGTAGTTTGTGGGCAGGCCTTCGTCATCCTACCCTACAATGCATGACAACATCAGAGAGATGTAACTGCCCGGACAGCAAAATAAATCGGCTTCAGGTCGCACGAAGAAAAGGAAGCCTGAAGGAGTGAAGAAGAAGGTAAGTATTTGTACTTTTTTTCTTTCCCCCTGGCCAAACAAACATTTAATTCATGCAGTGCAAGAGGATCCCACTGCATGAGCACTTTTATAGTATAAGTTTAGGTTACTTTTTTTTTTTAAATGATCACAAGTGACTGTGCTTATATTTAATTAGAATCTTCTTGCTGTGCTGAAAATTTGAAGTCTGCCCTACCCATACCCCCACAGCTGTAATCTTCAGATGCTACCAGGGGTGGACTGACCATTTGGAAACTGGGGCTTTGCCCGAGGGCCCGGGGTCAGTAGGGGGCCCCATGAGATGCCCCTGGTACCTTTTTCATAGGCTTTTTTGAGTTTGGGCAAGGACACAGGGGCCTCATGATCCCCTAATGCCCGGGGGCCCCATGAGTTATCAGTCCATCCCTGGATGCTACGGAGGTTAATATGAGCAGTGCACCTGTCATAGGCACTTATCAAGAGTGGCCTCCCTTTCTGCCCCCCTCCTCCATTCACAGAAGCTGTACTATAGCTTCTGTGAATGAAAAGCACTCTATACATGGAGAATGGGCAGATGAATGAAAGGTGCACCTCCTGCATTTACAGATTGCTTTTCATTCAGGGGAGCTGTGGTATAGCTTCTATGAGTGGAGGAGGGGGTCGTAAATGGCAGGCATAGTCGGCACTCTTGACGTGTTCCTATGACAGGTCCATCGCTTGTGCTAACGCCCACAACACTGGAGAATACAGCTCTGGGGGTGGGGACTTCAGATTTCAAAAAGGGCAGCTGACACCAGCACAAGGGACACGGGGCACATAAATGGAAGTTATATTTCTTGTGCTGATTTTTTTTTTTTTTAATTAAGGCTTTAAGCAGCTCAGAACTGGGTCTTCACCAAAATCAGTAATTGTTTTTCAGATTATCTCTGTATGAGTTTGGGCACTATAAAGGAGATTGTCCAATCAATGTTAAACGTATGGCCAGGTTAAGACAGCATGCCACTTTGGTAACATCATGGCGGTATGTCACCTGTGCCATGCCATATGGTCACATGACACTTTGTTAATATACTACCAATGCGATAAGAAGGAATACATGTGCAAGTCGGTTATGGGAATTCTGTTTTATTCATTAGGACCTCAGTGTGACAATCATTTCTAGTCCCTTATCAGCTGGGACATGTCATACGCTGTGCTTTATCTGCTAATAATGGGGACAGGATTAATGTGTATTTTGTGGTTCTCTGTGGTTGAATGAACTTCTGTTGTTAGAGAAATATATGGAGCCGCTCTGCCAGGGAGTGGTGGTGTGATCTGAGATAATCTATAAACAGTCTCTCATTAAACCTGTGTTCATAATAAACAGGGAACTGACCAGGCATTGCCCTTCATGCTAGGTTGGATGGGACGCTGAAGGTGAAGTGACTGGAGAATAGGCTGCCAATCTGGAAATGTTAAAGCTACAGGATGAAAATAAAGGAAGCATTATTTCTAAATATAAAAGTGGTCCTGTCATTACAATTCACCCTTCATATTAATTCGTAGGGCACATTAGCATTGCCAAATCATATTATTTCCATAAAAAGCCTAGGCAGTGTTGGTCAGATGGCTACTGATAGGCTTGTGTTCGGGCTTGTGTTTGGTCCAAACCTAAACTTAACCAGACCCGGGAAGTTAGCTGTCATTGATGGGCCAATGAGCATTGAGCTGCAAGTGCGAGATTCCCCACTCTATAGCTCATGTACACAAAGGGGCGGGGGGATACTCATGACATCATTAACCTAAAATGGTCACATGGCTATATTATGCCAATGATATTCCACACTGATACTATAGTCCACTATAACGTGTGCACGCTGGTGTGAACAGACCCTTAAATTGGTCATACATGGAGTGATTTTAGGAGGTTCTGGCCAAAATATTCTCCAAGCATGGCCCTGTCAGCCCCCTCCCACCTGATATTCTTTGATTAATAATATCAAAGATGTTGGGTGGACATTTTCAGCTGAACAGTGACTATATCCAATTAGATGCAGGCACTGTCTGGGTAATTTGGCAATTGGCAGCGCTGGCTTTCAGACTACAATAGCCACATCAAGAGCTGTGTCCATCATAGCGTGGATAAAGGGATCTGTTACATTTTTTCACTTAGCCCACAGCCTGAAAAAGGAAATCTTTGTGTGTATGACCAGCCTAAAAGTGGTTGTAAATCTCTGACATGAAAAATGAAAAAAGCATATCCCTCTTTAATGTGTACTTGTCTCAATCCAAAGCACTGAGTGTGAGTTTTTTCTGCAGTTTCATCCCGCTGCTGTCTGCATGAGTGATTTCGGAAAGGCAAGGGACTGAGGGGGACAGAGTGCTTCCAGCAATCAGCTTAGTATTGACAGCCTCAGCTATGCATGTTTCTCTATGAGATTGTGTAGAGGAGGGTGAGTCCCTTCCCTCCACTCCGGTCTCAGATTACATTTGGCTCTCCTCTCTGAGCTGCACAGTGTGTGACTTCAGATCCCTGCTTCCTGCTGTCAGAAAGCTCAGACAAGCTGTGTAATTTCTTGACTTTAAAGAGATGTAGGGGAGAGAAGACTACAGATAAACAGGTACAACCTACGTAGGAGGATTTGTTTAATCTCTGTGTATCACCTGAGGCTAGTCACTTCATTAGGTATATGTAAGGGTTTACAACCACTTTAGACCAAGCTTTGCTGGCTGTCCTTTTCTGGCTCCCTCTTTCAGCTTCTCTTCAGCTTCCAGCCTGCAGCCTGGAAGCAGAACCCGGGGCTCCCTCCCAAGCTACACCGCAACACCACTTAGCAATCCATCTACCATCTGACTCTCCTGCTGACATGGCTCTCCCATATTTATGGGTCAGTCTACCACTCTACCAGGGCCTCTTAGCCTATGATTGGTCAGACTCCCATGAATACACAGATTGAGGTCTCCACCCTTCTGCCCACTGGCTTCAGGAAGCTTCCATGGACCTCCAAAACCAGGTGGAGGTCCATGGAAGGTGGAGGCCATAGAGTCCCAACCTGCCAAGTTACCCAGCCTGACCTCACACTGAACCAACAGTAATTGAGGCTCACTCACTGGCATGAGCCAATAATAAAGTTACCTTATACTATCCCCACCTAGTGGGTGCTACATTTGATTAGCCAGTGAGCTGATTAACGAAAAATAGAACTGATTCTCCAATCCACACAATCAAGGTGGATAGAGGAATGAACTACTGACAGAACACAATGATCACTGTTAGTGGCTATAGCCAGCGGCAGTAATCACATGCAAAAAATCCGACAGGCTGGTAGCAATGAATTCAATCAATGGATCAACTTCAGAACAACCAGTCTGCCCATAGATGAGTCGAATCTCAGCTGGTCCCAGCTGAACTGTCGAGATTCGCTCTATCTATTGCCAGCTTTGCATTGACAATACTTCCTAGGTGGTCAGACTGGAGATTGCAGGTTGATAACGTGCTCTACAGCTCTTAGAAGTCTGAATGCCCTGCGGGTGATCACACTGTGTCTGATCGACTTTCCATCTGTATTGACACGATTCTGGTTTCAGGCCACAAGTTCAAAATACTGAAGCCTAAAGCAGCCAGGTAACTAGCATTTTCGGAAGAAGGTCAGTAGTGGGAGTCGTCATATTTCTCTTAGTACAGGAGTTCATTAAGATGGGTAAATGTGAACAGATTGTGAGCCTAAGGAAAAAATCCTGATGTACAGACTGATTTCTCTGCTGACATCTGTCTGCATATGTTCAACTCCAAAGCATTTGTTTCTGCATAGCCAAGACATTACAACTGAGAATCTTATTTTACTTTATAACGTTTTAAATAAATAATCAAAGCTATATCTTCTATAAATTCTATATATATCTATATCTAAAATGTTTTTTTTTCTAGAAAAATACACATAAAGCATCATTTGGTCAGTCTTCTAGTTTCATTGTAATCTTCTGCAACCATACAGAATTTAATTTTGATTTTACAGTTTGGCTCATAATTGCAGCTTGGGGCTGAAAATGATATTAAACCCTCTTATCATAAAAATAAACAGTAATGCAGATCTCAGCGCTTACCATGTGTGCTTTCCTTTTGAGGGCTACTATTGCTTGGCATTCTGTATCTGAAAAACCTCTCTGTTTTCAATTTTCAGGTGGCTACTTTACCTTGCAGGATCCCTTGGAGTCCTTCCATAACCACCCTTGCTTGCTCACTCCTGATAGGGACTACAGCCAGGCCTCCCACCTCTGTGTGCAATGATAGCTAAGCCTCAAGCCCATGACATTGACGTAGTATCAAACCCTCAGTGTTTTTTTTTTAGTTTAATACATTGAGCACAATGAAATAAACATTTCCCGGGAGGCTATGTGTAGCCAGGTGCTTGGCTAGGAGCAATGAGTGACAGAAATACTGGCTGCAGCTGTTCTCTTTAGCTGCTGCCCAGCTGTAATAAACTGGTTAATAGCTGTATCAGTGAGAGAATGGAGCTGCTGAGCAGGAAGGGTTCAATAGACTGAATCAGGCAGCCCTGTACTGTGGGAGCTGTAGTCCAGAGCAGCAGAGGCACTCTATCGAGTGAGCTGCAATATTGCAGGGAGTGGTGAGCTTCTGCTGTGGGGATTTACTGTCTGCTGCTAGAGAGACTGAGCCCTTTAGGAACTGACCATACAGTCATCTCGTAGCCTTATTGCTGCCTGCAGGCTTGACTAGGACAATTCTCATGTGCGCCAACAGTACAACTAGGCCCCAACGCTAGCTGGCTTAAGAGTTAGAACTAAAGGCTGCCCCTTTACAGCTATAGCCTTCCCATATGGAAGAAAAATATATTTGGAATATATTTTAAAAATATTCTTCCCAATATATTGACATATATTTGAAATACTACACCTTTGGCCATATTCAATATATTTCAAAATATATTTCAATAAATATATATATATATATATATATATATATATACTGTATGTTGAAATGCGTTTTTATTGCAAAATATATGAAATTGTTTTAAAAATACATTTCAAATATATTGTATGTCTTTAAAAATACAAATCTACATTTTTGAAATGCATTTCCAAATATATGTAAAAATATATGTTAAAATGACTCTTTTATATGTAAAAAAAACCTGAAGAATATATTTAAAAAGTATATATTTTAAAAAATATTTTTCATATATTTTGTAATATATAAAAAATGCATTTCAACATACAGTATATATATATATATATTTTTTTTTTTATTATATATTTAATATGGCCAAAATTGTAGTATTTCAAATATATGTCAATATATTTGGGAAGAATATTTTAAAAATATATTTCAGATATATTTTTCTTCCATGGTGGGTTTAACCTACTGCTAATGCTAAGAGGTACCTCTCAGGGGACACTGCCCCATATTCTAGTATTTCTCCTAAAGCGCACTCTAGACTAGTGAAAGTATTTTTTCACATTTCAGTTAATGCTTATATTCACTGTTTATAGCTGTCATGGCAC